GACCTGACCTTCGCTACGCAACCCAAGGTCAAACTGATGTGATCAGTAAATACATCTTTTTAAACGCCACAACTTTTGTCTGAAACATTTTTTTGTAATACTTATATTTTTCCTGATATTCGGGCGTCCCAGTACTTTCCGAACACCCTGTATATTAATTTAAATATGTCATATATTTTTTTTCAATTAATATTTAATAATTCCCATAGAAAGAAAGAAATAAAGAAATAATTAAGAAAGAAAGAAATAAAGAAATAATTATACTTTTTAAGCAAGTCAGTTTCAATGACTTTGAGCTTGACATATATTATCAAGGATATATCTCTGAGTAACATTCAAAAGGTTTTAGGCGTCACTCATTATTTGTTAAAAAGTTATTTAAATATCTTTTTATAAATGGAACATAATTTTTTAATATTTTATAACTTACGAGTTGGCTGTTGACAATGATATATTGATGCCTTTAATTAAGCCAGTAAATAATCTTTTATATAATAAATGAAAAATATTTTTATTTATAGAAGGCATCATTGTTAAAGTATTCTGCACGTTTTCAAAATTAGAAACTTCTTTTGGTAACCATTCCAAAATTAATGTTATTGTATGTAAAGGTGATGGTTCATTATCTATCCAATTATCCAATAACTGAATAACAGATAATTTGTATTGAGAAGCAATATTACTTTCAGGCCATTCCAGACAAAGAAATCCATATGCCAATTTTGCTAAAACAAAATTAATATGATATAAACAAAACTGAAGGAGATATTTCATAATATATAAAAAGAATACATTTAAAATAAAAAAATCGCGAATACTTTGTGCACGTGTACGCACGTGTCGAATCGATTGTTGTAAAAAACAAAAAAATTTAATTGCATATTGTAGATGCATTGACATCAGTTTGCAAATATTAATGTGATCAAAGCTCCTGATCTCTCGTTGTGAAACCTCGAAAGCCGCGAAAGTCGTAAAATTAATATGACAAAATAATGTGGAAGTACAGGTTAAAAAGGAAGTATATTACATTGTATGTCATGTTAATTTTATGGTTATTTATTGATTGTTAAAAAATGAAAGTGTTCGGAATATTTTAGAGATATTTAATCGATTGCAAGTGTCATTTTTTGGATATATTTTATAATTTCGATGTACTTTATAGGAATTTTGAAAGCATATATTTTTCTCCTTTTGACGTCATAGATCAAGATGGGCGCGGCAAGAGACTAAGAGCCTTAACTGATTTCTCTTATTATTTTACAAAAATATTAATATTTTGTTAATTAATTTTTAGAGTGCTACGGGCGCATACATACACTTAGTAAAAATCGTTGCTTACAGTATCAACTACAAAAATTACACAATGCACTGAAACAAAAACTATTTTAATAAATTTATATTACACATTTACTTGTTTTTGTTTGTTCCCAACATTACGTGACATCAGATTTGGAACCATCAAGAATCGTTACAGAAAAATATTACTGGTTGGTCAACAATAAATTACTATTGCTCAGTAGTTTTATTACTAGTGGCGTATAAATTTTGAATACATAAATTACAGGATTACTGATACTTCATAGTAATTCAGTGATTATGGCGACAGTGATAATCACTGATGTATTACTACATTCTTGTAACAAATTATTAGTGTAAATTATTACATTATAACGAGAAAAAAAAGCATAAATTTTTTTATGATTAGTCCTAAAACTCTAAATATTACAAAGTAAATTCTAAATATATGTAAATTTTACCTAGCGCATTTTATTTGTTCATAACTTTCATAAAATAATAAAAACCAAATATTTTTTTTTAACTAGTAGAAAATATCGAAAAATATAAATCTATTAATTTTATAGAAAATGTTTTAATAAAAAACAGAAACTTTTTCTTTAAAGAACAATCATGTTTGATTAAAAGTTTAAAATATTAGATTTGGTTTCCGGATTTGAGCTGTGTGGATTCTCCTTTGTTTAATTCCAACGTTTCACGAACATTTCAGTCTGCTTCATCAGAGAGAAACAACCACCCGATGCCTCGGGTCATGGCGGAAGCCTCAAATATGAAATAAAAGTTTACAAAGTTGATCTGAATAAATTTTATCCATGTTTAGTGTTCTAGGATCAGTATAAATTGTTCCATATATTTTTATTTGTCAAACTTGTTCTAATATATTATAATGGTAATTGTTTACATTATGGGACCCATCTGTGAAGAGCTCCTTCTTGACATATAATATCAAGGATGATATTTTTGAGTAATATTTCAAAGGTTTTATCATCATTAGGCATCATTCATTGTTTGTTAAAAAGTTATTTATATTAACCATTTATCATTATGATATTTAATTCAAAATCTAAAAACAATTATATTCTTAATAGTTTACTGATATACATTATATCACTGTTAATCACACTCCGATTGTTATTATGTCGTTTCCAACATTTGTCAATAATGTTATATTTTTTTGATTATATATAGCATATTATAGGCATAACTAAGATATCGTTATAGTTTTTCGGCCAATTTCTGTTCTATTATTCTGATTATGCATTAGATAGTGTGGTCTAAGAAAAAAATAGGTAATAAATAATCGCTACATGATCAAAATAATGTGGAAGCACATTTATGAGCGCTGCGACGTAAAATATGAAATACCAATTTTTTTATTATTTAAACAAAATAAACATTAAATTGTCTAGACCATTTTAATAAATAAATATATGGAAATTTAGCAAAAAAAAATATATACACTATATGTAGTAATCCACCAAATAATTATGGAGCAAAAGTGATTAGTCACTATTATTTTCTTTACCAGTAATATTTTTTTGTAAGGGAAGCTTAAAATTGACACGAAAAAAAGCCACTGCCTTCGTGTTGGAATTAATGAATAAGTGTGATCCATATAAATTAATCACCTCCGCACTGTTGCGTGTTGTACCATTCTCTGGTTAAGAAGAAATTATCGAAAAGTAAATATTTTACGAGATATTTCATATTTTATAGTAAAATATATCAAAATAAAATATAAAATATCTCAAGTTATTCATTTTTCGATGATTTTATTCTGGTACTTTTACACACAATGTGATCAAAAAAATTGATTTATGTAAAGAAAATATAACACACACACACACACACACACGCACACGCACACGCACGCACACACACACACACACACACACACACACACACA